GGAAATACAGGAATCTCTTCTAGGATAAACATTCTGCCAGTCTTGAAAAGAACATCCTCCCATGTTGATGGAAAGATTCTACCCTTGCATACTCCAAACAGCTGTTTCCTAGAAACAAGTGCCCCGGGAGACATGGAGAGTTCGCAGAAGAGAAATGTGACTGAATGCCAATAGACTTGTATCACCTATTGGCTCTCCTAATTTTCTTCTGTATTCCAAGTCAGCCTCATAGGGTGCTCCTTATGCAGAATGGGGTTAGTTAAAAAGCCACTAATGTAATAAACACACACACATACACATGTGCACACACAGGTAACTTCCACAGTGTCATGCTCACCTTTACTATCACTGGTTTCAGGGGCCGAGGTTCATGGCAATGTCATAAACAAAAAGCTTTATGTGACATAGCATATCAGGTTTTTTACTGCTGTTTAACAAATTGTCACAAAGTTAGTGGCTTAAAATAACACAAATATATTATCTCCAGGGAATGAGGGGGTCAGGTGTCCAGACAGGCTTGGCTGGGTTCACTGCTTATGCAGAGGCTCATCAGAAAAATTCACTTCCAAACAGGTTGTTGGCAGAATTCACTTCCTGTGGCTGTAGAAGAGAGATCACTGATTCTTCACTGGCTGTCAGCCAATCTCCGCTCTGTGCTCATAGAGTCTATTTGCATTCCTTTTCACGTGGCCCCTTCCATCTTAAAAGCAGAGACACATCCAATCTTTCTCACACTTGGAATCTCTCTGTCTTCCTCTTCAGCCTCCTTCTTCTGCCGCAGCAGGAGAAAACTCTCCTTTTTCTAAGGGCTAATGTGTTTGATTGGAGCCACTTTGATAATCTGGAAGGGTCTCCTTTTCATAGGGTCAACTCTGCCACATAGCACAGTATAATCATAAGAGTGCTAGCTTATCACATTCATAGGTTCCAAATATCAGGGAGGCACATCTTTGGGAAGTCATTTTAAAAATTCTGCCAGTTATAGACAGCATTAGCATTTCAATAGCTAAGCTTCTATGAGAAATACTCAGGTATTTAATTTTATTTTGTGACAAAGAATATTATTTAGAGACTTTTTTCTAGTATGGGAATAAATGAGGCAAGAGAAAGGGAAGGAGAAGAGAAAGGAAAGAAGGATATTCAAGAGAGCAAAACTCAAGTTTCTACCAAAAGGAAGGCAAACACCATAAAATGTGTCCCACCAGGATTCCAGATAAAAGATAGCATATAGAAATAAGACCCTGCTGGGGAATGCCCAGTTTAAAAAGGGCAAATTGAATGTATGTTTATTTTTGTTCCCTCTACAAACTCTGCTGAAATTACCTAAAGAATAAAAATGAGTAAAAATGGTATAAATAAAGACAGGTGAGGAGACAACAAATGACAACAGGGGGCAACAAAGTTTTAGAAGTTGGAAAAGAGGTTCATGGAACTGACCTAGCCAAGCAGAGGAAGCTTAAATCCAGATGCCTCTAGAGGCCAATTCATTATGTACTATTTACTTAAAAATAGATGGCAACTCCATTTCTTTCCACAAAGCAGAAGTTGGTAGTTTCTTGAAAGTAGGTAGCACTACCTGAGAAAAATATGTGTCCAATATGGCCTCAGTTTGCTGAAATGCATACAGCTCCATTAAATTAACGGGAGTGAACCTCTGGAGAA